CACCTCAGGCAGAGTGGCGTTCAGGAAGTGCTTCACCCCAGTTGTGTTTCTCGCCTCAAACAAACTCTTCTCGTACAAGTGAGGAGGGATGAGCTTCGCGCCCTCGCTAGGCCTTCGCACCTCGACCCCCTTCCTCTCCCTGATTTCAGGACCCATCTCAGAAGGGGGAGGGCGAGATACGAACTCAATCACCTCATCCCCCCTCACCTCCGGCTCAACCACTTTCCTCTTCTTTCTCTGGAGTGGGGCCACCTCCTCACTCACCTCCTCACTATTCCCCCCTGCAAGCTCTAGCCTCTGCTGTATCTCCAGCACTCGAGCAGAAGTACTAGGCAGGCGCTCTTTCTCTAGCTCCCCTCTATTCGCCGCAGCTAAAGTCGTTGACTTCTTCCTTGGCTTCTTGGGGATGCGCAGTCCTCCAGCAGCATTAACAAAATCGTCCATCTCAGCTGCAGAGCAAAAACAAGTGTTAAAACACAATAACTGGGAAATCAATTAAGCTGCAAAAGGTAACAACATACACAAACCTTCGCTCAATGAGCTCGGCCCATAGAGCTCAGCAGCTTCTATTGCATTCGGGCTGGTGAGGTACAGGATATCCACTACGTCTCCTTCTTCCCTCACCAGCTTTCCTACCTCCTCCATCTCATCTTAATTTAACTTATAGTTGTTCTGCTTGGTTTTCTTAGCCTTCCAAGTAGACAACTGTTCCACCTTGGCATCCTTCCTACTCCACTCGGTGTCATCCAAAAAGAAGAACTTTTCTTTCCATCCTTTGATGGATGACGGTCCAGCAGAGAATAAATTCCTATTCTCTTTGCTGGACGATCGAGGACCAAAGTAATACCACCCCTTCTCCCCCCTACCCCCAGCCTTAATTATAAAAAAATGTTTGAACATATTCACTGTAGGGACCCCAACCCCCCGAACTCTACAGTATACAAGAAAACCTACTATTACCCTTATGGCATTTGGGGTTAGTTGGGTTATTCCTATACTATAATCTAATAATAGCCCAACCAGTAATTCTGGAATGGGAAACCTAAGCCCTGCAATCAAGTAGTGGAGGTATATGGGCATCCAATGGTCTCGGGGTGCTGAGCATGCCCTCTCATTCACCCCGGCAGGCTTGATTAGGACATGGTGAGGAAGGTTACAGTTCCCTACTAACCCCCTAAGGCTACTCCTACTACCTAGTTCGCTCACATACCCCCTCACCTCAGAAACTATCTCTAAGTCGGGGTCATAACACCCATCTACGCCACCCCCAGATTCCAAAACGTTTGAAGGGATCTCCTCTTCCTCCTCCTCTACTACTCCTTCATCCCTCCTCTCTGAACTAGTTGGAGATGGACTGCTCTCCGTATCCATGCTCCCGTAATCCAGGGGCATCACTTCACTCCCCACTACACTTATAGCCCCTCCTGAAGACATCTCCTCAATTTCTGCATAAAGTAGGAGGAGGAATGAAGTCAGGACCCTTACAAATTCTAATACACTCCGTACATTCTCATTCCCAAACCTAATTTCCTTTAAAAAATCCAAAATCAAACACAGAAAGGGGGAAAGGAGTGGCATCTCGGCGAAATCGAACTCAAAAACTCAAACACGAAATCAAAAAATTCATACACTTTACCTAATTTTGGACTTGGAAACTGTTGTTGAAGTCTTGATCGAAGCGCAAACCGCACGAAAATCGCAGAAATTTAGTAGAAATTTAGCAATAGTTTAGTTGCAAATTAACGAGAGTAAAAACGTCCCCTTTTACATAAGTGTAGCCTTTTATACCAAAAGCAAAATACGCCCCAACGGCTGTGATTAACTCAATCTAACGGCTGCAGAGACACCGTTTCGAATTTGACGGTTAACCATTAAACGACATCGTTTCGAACTCGATGGTTTGCTTTTCAAATCTGCCCGTTGGATTGTTGTAGTTATCTTTTTACAGCGGCATTTATTACGCACGTCATTCAGAGGACAACTGTCGCGTCACGTGCCGCGTCTTAGTCAGACTCCTCAGACGGGCCTACTTAAGCCCATTTCAACACTCCTTTCCACTTTTGTACATTTTAAATTTTGGCAAGTGTTTCACTTCGGCAACCGA